AATGTCATTCAGTAACTTAGTCCAATATAAATAAATACATGAAGTATGTCAAGGCGAATGTACATTTCTTATTCTCTTATCAGGAATATATATCAGTTGGAATATGGTTTCAAAGATTATTTTCGAGATTTTCTTATGTTTTTTTTTTCGTTTTGAAGTACGTTCTTGGCAGCGCGGCGGAGCTTGTTAATTGCGGACCGCCAGCTACTTGCCTCGCTCCGATTTGCAGCTGGGCACTCACAAATCTTGTCACCGGCGCGATGCAAATATCTACGCAGCATGCAACCCGTCATCTGGATTCTGCGTCGGCGACATCCATTTCTCATTTGATCTTTATCGCCCGGCAACATGCAAACAAGCGGACCGATGGGCACCGCCTCCCCAGCCACTCCCACCGTCCACCTTCCACCTTCCGCTCCCACTTCAGAAGTCCCTGGCCAGACCTGATATCCGTACCGATTGTAATCAAGATTGGCTTTTTGCATGCGCCCGGCTGCCAGGGCGATTTGTGGTCTGGAAAACTGTTTCGTCCAGCGACATTTCAAGGCTTTCAGTCCGCCGCCGAATCACAGCAGCAGCTGCTCCCCCGTTTTCCCCGATTTGCAATTTGCCAGTTTTTAATTTCCTCCGGGTCTCTCATTAGCGGGCCGCGTTTCAGGCGGCCAACCGGGCCCCAGATGCCAAAAGTGGGTCGGGTCGACTCACTGAATTGTGGGACACGCACCGCTCAGACACCTTGGCGGCGGTTTTCCTATTTGCAACTGACTTTTCCTCCAACAATTTAAGCACAGACAATGGATGGGTGTAAATCATGTTTGCACTGCTCGCAGTCTGTCTGTCTGTCTGGGCCTTAGCTTTTGGCCCAGACTTGACTTGACTTTACTTGACTTGTGGTCAATGGCTTGTACATAATGGCTGCCCCACACAACAACTACAATCGCCTCTTTGGGGTATTTGCAAACAATGACATTATGCTGACGTTTATTAATCGCATTTGCGAAATTAATGTCGTGACATTTTCGGTTTAATGTAGTTGTAATAAATAAATGCGCCGTTTACCCAAAGACTAAACGAAAAACACAATAAATATGTACGGTATAAAAAATCAATACAATAGTCCAATAGACAGACGGCAGAGAATTCTGGCTGTTGCTGCTGTCAGTGGTCCAGATTATGTAATTCCAATTTGCATATAACAAATGAGGCGAGTGGTGGCTACTTTATTTTAGAGATTTTGTGAGAACCTTTTTTTATTAGAATGTCTTATATATTAAAAAAATGCAAACCTTCTTTTTAGGCAAAAATTGGTAAAATTTTGAAAACAAATCTCTACATTTATTAAAAACAATTTTCAAACTTGTATTTCAACACAAATATTTGGATCCAAAAATACATTTTAAGGGGTAAAAAAAAAGTACTTCACTTTACCCCAGATGGGACTCGAACCCACAATCCCCGGCTTAGGAGGCCGATGCCTTATCCATTAGGCCACTGGGGCATGTGATTTCTGTTGTCAAACTGCTTAAATGAAACGCAGGACAGCTGAGAACAAAAACAACAAGAACAAAAACAAAATAAAATATCTTTATCAGTTAAGTTTATTGTTAAAATAAACTGTTTGGTTTTGTGCGAAGAACATAAAAACATACTTACATACATATGTATAATTGGGTTATGTTTGTTTCATAGTACAAGTGTTTATTTTTTGTGGTTTCCATACAATATAATGTTAGATTTACATACCTTATATAAGAATAGTGACTTAATTTCCTATATTGTTTTTATACCAATACTTTTATACTTCTGTTTCTTTATTTTGGTAATTTTTATTCAAGCGGTAAAAAGTTTTTGCGATACGATAGCGACAAGGAATATTTCACCCCTTAAATTATTGAAAAAATAAACACGTTTTTGGTCTAGGCATTTCGCTTGCCAGCTATGACGCATACCTGACTCATGCTTTACTGTAGCGAGCTCAAAATAGCATTTGGCCGCTCGCTAACACATGCCCCAGTGGCCTAATGGATAAGGCATCGGCCTCCTAAGCCGGGGATTGTGGGTTCGAGTCCCATCTGGGGTAAAGTTGAGTGGTTTTTTTTTTTTTTTTTTTATTTATTTATGTTTGGTTATTTTCTTTTCTATATTTTAGGCTATCTTAATTATTTGCCTTGCCTTGCCTTTTATCTCTTTTCAGACATTTATTAAAGAAAAAATTGAATGTATCATTTTTAATTTTTTGTTTGATTTAAATTTTAAAGTTTTACATTTTTAAAGGATTTATTTAAATCGCTTTTATGCGTCGGACAAGTTACTGAGTTTGTTAGAAATGCAAAAATGCTTTGCAAAAGTGGATAACTATTTCGCAAGCTATTGGCAGTGCTCCATCAAACTAGATTATCGCCATGCCGCTCCCAGATGTCTGGCCACAAGCCGAACATAAACCATGAAAAGTCGTCACAGCAGTTGACATTTCGCTGTGCCACTTCCACTTAATTTAACAACTTTACGAGCACCAGCGCCATCGTCTTCTAATATCGTTTTCAGACATTTTCACCCCGGCTCTTAAATGGCAATCAACTTTCTGATGAGTTGTCAAAAACGCCGTCGCCTGGCATTAGGTGGATGCACCAGTGGGCGTTCAAGTGGGTGGGCGTGGCCTCGCATGGGACGAGATCCATCCACTTTAAAAAGTTTGCCAAAAATTGCGGCTCATAATTTCACTTTCGCTATCTGAAATATGCATGGCCGTAAAATTTGCCAACGCCGACCAAATGGCCACCCAGGGACCCGAGGATGCACAGGCCATTGAGAGAATGGGACTGGGTCGTTGGGAGGTTGTTAGATGGAAGCCTCGGCCATAAGCATTAAAATTGCATACTGGCTTGGAGGCAAAAAAAAGGCAAACAAAAAAATACTAAAAAATAAAACTGTGCCTCGCATAGTTTCATTTGCTTTACGATTCAGCAAAACTTTGGCTGAGGATGCGCCGAAGTTAGGACCAAGGGATTGCGGGGGAAAACACTGGGTTGTAAGGCAGTCTCATCATTAATGTAAATTCATTGTTGCATGTTGCCAGGAGGGGCAGGGGAGGAGTTGCTCTACTGCCTGCATTATAACAATTCATACTGAATTTTTGATACGAATTCAACTTTCCCACGTACGCATAATCCATTAAGTGGGAAACAGATTGCTACCAACTTTGAGATACCTCAAATGGATCATATCTGAGGTTTGAGGGATATTAATTAAGAAAGTTTAAAACCAGCAGAAATACTTCTGTTTTGTTCCGAAATGATACCCTAATTTACATAGGGTATGGTGATCCTTGATTTTTTAACTATAAACATAGTCAACACTTATTTTAGTTTAAAGTTAAACATACATGCATAGGCAGCAAAATAGTGACTGCGTTCGTTTAAATTAATTTACTGCACTTTTATTCTTTACTTGAATATATTTCGTAATAGGACTGCCATTACATACCCGTTACGTGCAAGAATTCCCGCAGCTGGAGGAAAAATCCCTCTCGTCCTATACGTTCCACCTCGGAGCAGAAACTTTCCGCAGAATTAATGGCAAGGGTACTTTAGCACCCCGCGGAAAGTAGGCCAAAGTCCGGATCGGCGAGTGGAGAGGGATATATGTACGTGGAACGGGGCAACGAAACGGCGAAGAGGCATTCTGAGAGGTTTATGGAATGCACTGGGCCGCAGATTGCATTTGTTGCATTTTACTTAATTGAAAAAGGCGAGCGATGTGGGGGAAGGCCGTAAAAGGACAATATCGCTGTCCCTAGCCCTCTATGGGCTGCCTGCGCACTTCATAAAGCTGACAGGGCCCGGACCGGAGCGGCTATAAAAGAACATGACCAAAGCGGTCGTCGCGGAGACAAACACACACCAAAATAGACCGCCAGCGGACCGCCTCAAACGGGCAAGAGGAGAAAAAACAAAAAACAACGCAGGCAAATAAAAACAAAAGCAAAAACTGCAAACTGCAAACATGCCGGTCGTCCAGTGGAAAAGCATCTGCAACAGGCAACGGCAAACAAACAACGAGCGGCAAAAATTATCTACTCAGATTATGTCGAGATTAATTACATACGCTGAGCGCCATTGTCTTGTCAATAAATTGTCGTTGTCGTCGACGTCGCCTGGCATCGTGTGGCTTAAAGATAAGAGGGCCTCCGACGCCGACTACCGAAATGTTAACTGGCTTTTCTTTTCTTCTCCTCATTTTTTGCTTTTTTTTTTGTTTGCTGTATTTTTTCGCCAATTTTTTTCCTGGCGTTTCTGCCGCTTTTTGGCTGATGCTGTCAAAATTGGTTGCTCAACCCGGGAGCTGCAAGCCAAGCCCCTCGTCCTCGGCTAATTAATTTAGAAATGTTGCCAACATCAGCGCGACGAGCCCACCAAAGGGAGCGCCACATGGTCCGCCGTTAGCGGGCAAATAATAATGAAATGATATAGGTTTAGTCCGCCGATAAGCATCGTGCCGCATCCTCTCCCTCTCTCTATCTCTTCCTCTCTAAGCCAAAGTGCTCTGTAAGCCAAGTGCGCGTAAATTAATTGGCCAGAAAGCGGCGGCAGCGAGGGTTATGCGGTTCCCAGCTCAGAAGACTGCCGGCCAAGTTTATGTGGCTTCGACTTTGACCAGGGGGCACCGCTGAATTTAGTGCATGTTAAGCGCCGAATGGCCAATGTAAATTTCAAGCTGCAGTGCCTTCTTGGCCCGCTCAGATGCACGAGATTCCGGTGGGCCGAGAGCAGGCGAATGATGGCCCACAAGCATGGGCAGGGCTAATTAGAATGGATAACACGGTATTGGCATCGCGCTGCACCTGGAAAATACTGCCCAGCATAACTTTAGATGAGTGTTTGGCGGTGTAGAAGATGTGATTTCAGATTGCGGAGCTTCAAAAAAAAAATATTGCGATAGAAAGAAGTAACCAATTTTATAGCAAGAGAGTTGGTTTATAGATAAATAAATTTTTTATTAATATTGCATACTTAAAGTATGTTTCCGTGATCTTTTCTGCCATTAAAGGCAACAACAAAATAATATATTTTGAGGCTATTGAAGATCCAACACCCCCTTGCTATCAAGAATGGCTAGAAACCTGGTAGTACTTCTGATTACCACTTCACTGTCGTAAATAGCCTTTTGAAACCCAAGTCCCTCCTCGTTTTCCGTGTACAGGTTGGACAAGTCCGATGACTGTTCACTGCCGTTGTAAACAATAACAGGCTTGAAGAGATTCGACAACAGACCTATGGAATGATATAGGGTAAGTAATGTGCCAATCCGATAAGATCCACTCTACTCACTCATGAAGCGTCGTCGTTCGAACTGAAGCAGGAACTCCTGGAGACTGGGGAACAAACCCTTATAGGCGAGCTTCTCTATGCTTTGTTTCAGGGCATTGTAATACAGCTCCACGAGTTCCGATTCCTTGTCCAGAACCTCTTCCCGTAAAGAAGTGGCGAAGAAGTAGTGCAAATCGAGGGCAGGCGAGGTGTAGTTGCTGAATTGGAAGTCTATAGCAGTGGCTGTTTTCGGTAATCCAGAATCATCGTACTGGAACATAATGTTGGTGGTCCAGCAATCGCTGTGGATCAACGATAGCAGTTCGTTCTCCTCCACTTGATAAATCCTATTTCCATACTCCATAATGTGGTCGTTTAATTTCTCCAATTTCTTGCCATATCTTTGCTTTAATTGTGGTTGCCCATCTATGAACCTTAAGAAGGCCCTAAATAGTCCTGTGAAGACCTCCGTGTATCCCTTTTTGCCAAGTGAGAAGAAGTTGATGAAGAAACAGTCAGTTACGAGTTCCTGATGCCTCTGTCGCAGAACAATTGATGCAGCATGGAACTTGGCCAACAGGTCCAAAGTCAGCTTGGTGTGGGTCAGATCCATCTGCTTTACTCTGTCGGTGTTAATGTATTTGTACTGCGCCAAGTCTTCCAGGATAATAGTGCTATTTTCCCGATCCACAGTGATAGCATCGGCAGTGAGCTTCCCTGTAAGGCCAGCTTCTTGGAGCAGCGCTTTCATCTTGGGAAGAATGAATTCGTACATGTCCATCTCACGCTTGTAGACGTCGTACTCGTAAAACACTTTGGCCTGGGGAACATCCGGGGTGAGGGCCTGTTTCACTATATATGATTTGTTCTGAACCGATCCATCACCCTGCTGATAGTCCACATAAACACGGACAATAACTCCCACGTAGTTGTCTCCTTTTCCAGTTGCTGGCTTGGCCCAGATCCTGAGGATCTTCAGCTGATCGTCTTTATAGTAGCTCCTCAATCTGGGCTGCAGATATTCCTCGGTTAGCCAAGTGGGAAGCATGTTTACGTTCTGAGGTCTGACGAACTTCTAAACATTTTGCCGGTGGGACTCCCGTTTATATTATTAACAAATTCGAACTTATCAGGAACCACTATACCGAAGCCGCGATAAGCAATTAATCTATTATCTCATTTGGTGAATGAATTACTAAAATATACATAGTCATGGCGAGATTGCGTACAGCCGCACCTGCTCTGAAGCATTTTATAGTAACAACTCTGTTTCTTGTTTGTTTGCTGATTGTTAAACATTTTTATTGTTGTTCCTATCTCAATCAAATAACGTTCAAACTTGGTTGTTGGTCATGAAATATTATTCTAGAACAATTTTTCAATCTGATTACATTTGATGGCATATCAAAACCGGTTTGTTAGATTTAATCTTGTTTTGTTTATTTCACAATATTTTTAAATTCTAAAAAGTTTTTAACAAGCTTATGCACATGAGGGTGTTACCACCTTATTGGTTTCTAGATAATAATATATAATATATTAATTCATTTTTTTAAGCTGATTTAAAACAATAGCCTAAAACCTTAAACTATAAGAAAATTCGTATGACTTTATAATACAGTTAGTTGCCAAGTAACATTAAGTTTACTTTGACCGACGAATTTATAATTAATAAGCGGAGAGTGGCATTAAAGGGGCTTAGAACCTTCTTGAGCTGAATGGCTATACATTTCACACATGCGATTTATTGGCCTGGGAATGCTAAATTAATTAACAAATATTTACTGGCGCATTACTCATCATTAATAACACATGCCGAGTGGGTGGTGTTGATGTGTCCTTTGGATCTCCACAACAGAGTGCATTTCTGCCCCCACTCAGAGCCCAGATGATTATTTACAATTAAAGTTCCAGCTGTGTCTCAGCTTCGGTTGCCCAAATAAATGCATCGTAAATTTGAGAGTTTAATGCCAACGACGAGGATATAAACAAGCAGTCATACATTTAGGGAATTACATGCAAAGTGTGTGACGATGACGACTGTCAAGTGAAAGTTACCTGGTTCGCTCTATTTTGTTTGTTTACTGCGGAGTTGCCGAAAGCTCTGCATATAGAAATTCCATTACTTGGGAAATCATTTCGCAAGTGCATCTGGGATGTTGTTAGTTTGCTGTTGATAGTTGGTACACCGACAGGAAAACATAGTAACTTTTTTAGATGAAGGCAAGTCACAAATAAATAACTTAAGGGGTTTATTGTAGGTACCACAGAAATCATAAAAATATAAAAATACTTATCAGGTTGTTTGCCACATTTGGATATTACAGTTACTCCCATTCTTTCTTCCCAACTTTTATTTAAATTTCTTTGTGAAAACTCTATTTTTTCTAATTTAATAGTATTTTTCTCTCTGCACCGACATTGGTGGACAGTGAGGCAAAGTTTTCGGGACTTTCGAGCTATTTGCGAGCCACGCACTTGATCCACCCACTCATCAACCCACTCACTCACACAAATGCACGTAATTTCCCAGGCGGGCACAACGGTGCTTCGGCGGCAGCGACGCCATTTTGCCGGCGGCCATTTTCCGTCTACCGCTTCCGCCTCCGCCTTCGCGTGCCGCCTGAATAATTGATGCCGCGATGGGCTGTGATGGGTTAAGGGCTGATCCAGCGAGAGAGGCGCTATTAATGAGTTCCCACTGCCTGCTTGCATAATGTATAAAATGTATGGCGATGCCAATGGCTTGGCCCACCCGCTTCGCAGTTGACAAATAAGCGCTTAAGTAATTTGCCACCGTTTGCCGATGCGAAGAGGAAAGCGGGGACCTCACAAGTGAATATTAAATAAATTTTCCACTTATTGCCTGCGTCGGCGAGCGGCCTCAACGGGTTAACCGAAGACAGCCAGCGAGGGCTGCATTCAACTTGTAATTAATGTCAAATATTTACACATTTGCCGGAGATCAAAGGTCTGCCAGCGAGTCTCGCAGCAGCCAGGCTAATTAAATGAGTATTTATATTTAAATTACACGAACTACTTAAAGGCTTTGCCCCTGAAGCGAGAAGCTAAGGACGCGGAGTGGGTGGCGGTGGGTGGGATTTTTACCTTAGCACAGCTGGCGGGCAGGAAAATCTTTGGCTTTGAAGCCGGGCGAGAAATCAACCCTTTGACGGGAGAACCATATGGTGCCCTCAGCTTATTTTCTGAATAAATAATCGCGCTGGAAAAAATTGTCACTTAATTAGCTTTAATTAGTGAATGAAGATTGTGTACTTTACAGTGGGATGTTAAACCAAAATGGACTCATTAGCTATAACCAAAAACATCTGTGAGTTGTAACTATTCATAAAATATTTTATATAATTTATTTCCAACTAGATAACGTTGTGAAAGGTTTTAAATCTTCTTTAAAACTGCCAAAAACTGTCACCGTAGCGCAAAGTGGCTTTATCGAAATGGATGTTACTGCTAATTTCGCTAAACCTAACCCCTTTTTACTTTCTGCTCGTGCCGAAAACTTTGTCCGCTGAAAATATGCACAAAGTTGAAAGGTGAGCCTGGCGCGTCCTTTATATCCCTCATAACTCCGCTCGTCCTTCGGCGGCAATTTGTCGCCCAATTTAGCCGGCATTCAATTTGCTTCGAACTGGCGAACTCGCTTGTCAAAGGCTTTCAGCTTGTTAGCGCTGCACTCAATTGGCGGCATTCAAATGCCGAGCGGTCGAGTGGCCTCGGAGGGTTAAGGTTCTGGCAAGGGGGCTAAGGGTTAAGGCTGGGGAGCGTTTTGCAGGCGAGCAGCTGCAATTTGAAAATGCAGTGGCGCAATAGCGGAGACAAGAACCCGTGAGGCAACCAGTTGCAAGCTTGCAACTCGTGTGTGATATTCGGCAGACGACGTGTGGGAAATGCGTGTGCAATCTTGGTTTTTCCGGCGACCAGAGTCCGTGTCCGGCCTTCGGTTCTCCGGTTCTCCGGTTTTTCGGCTCTCGGGTTCTCCGGTTTTCCGGTTCTCCGGCTTTTCGAATCTCCGGCGCTGTTGCGGCTCTGTTAGCGGTGGGCGTAACGGAAATGTTACGGCGCACACGAAATGCATTTTGTAACCCAATTTCCTACTTCCGGTATCTTTTCGGCCGGCGCACCGCCCACTGCACCACCCACTGAGAGTCGTGAGCGAGTGGGAGAGTGAGCGGAAATGAGCTTGGCCGGAAAATTAACCCACTCGCTCTCTCTCCTTTTCTCTAACGCACACACATGGGAGCTTTTCCACACATGCTCGTGTCGGAAAATGCCGAGCTGCCTAGCGAAGCTTTTCCCGAGCTTTTCGCATTTGCATTCTGCCAGCTTTTCGGCCCGCGTTCTTGCCCCCTCCACGTTTTCTGTTTTGTTTTTGATTTTCCCCCACTTAATACATTGTGCAGCTGTTTTGGCCATGCGACGTATTGTAATGCCGCCAGTCGTGTTGCCACTTTGATTGATTGGGTAATGAAGTTATTAGATAGGTGTGATTGTCGGGCCGTGCGAGATTTCGATTTCGAGTGTGGCAGCAGAATTAAGTGCCTCATTAGATTGTTATGATAGGTTGAGGTGTGTGGCAATGTGGGCGGCGCTGCAATACGCGACGTGCAATTAATATGCAAAAGAATGAGTGATTGAGTCGTAAACTTCAGTATTTCCCATGACTTGTGTATGTTATTAAAGGCTTATTAAATGAACTCCAAGGCAATACCAATGGAATCAAAGCGGATTATTAAAATATTTTACAGAGATTAACTTAACACTATTATAGCAGAGCAATTACCCTTTTGCATACAATAGAAAGATAAAATAAAATTATTACCCTCGAAACCTTTTATTCATTACTGATCTTGTGTCTTAAAATTTATTATTAATAAACTCATAATATTAAGAATTTTAGATAATTTAAAGAAAATGTATCCTTTTATAAATATTTCTTGCGATCGTTTTAGTCCGCTCCACTTTCCCAATAAGAAGTATAATAATTTGGACTCTTCTTTATGGGTCTGGGCAACTTTCCAGTTTGGCTAAAATAAAGTAGACGAGCCATTACCACTGATGCGGCTCGCTTTCCCATCCGCCGGCCAAAGAGGCCAGAGCAATCCAATTTCGCAATAGGAAATATGATAACAGCCACGGCCGCTTGTCACTAATGCTGACAAGGTCACATTGTCAACGTCACTGCGCGTGCGTAAACCAATAAAATTTGTCCAAAACGGCCAAGACAATAGCCAAATAAACAAAAGGCCAAGCGAGGGGCTCCTGGCGGATGGGGCAGCGGTAATGGGGCAGATACATGCAGCCGCAGCTAAACTGGCTTTAATGATTCAATCCCAAATATGGGTGTCAATAAGTTAACAGACAGACAATGTTGCACTTGCCGCGGCCAAAAGCGCGCTCCTGGCCAAAAGCCAAAGCAGGAGCAGATGACTGGGAGCTCCACTCGGATCTGGAGGCAAGCCTGGACTGGGTATCGTGGACTGGGGTCTGGGGTCTGGGGTTTGGGGTGTGGGGCACCCTGACCGGACCCAGACATCTCCTGACTCTCGGCTGGCCGCAGAAATTATGAAATGCATTTAATTTTGTTGCACACTTTTTGTGCGGTCCGGCGGATTCAGCTGCAACCGAGCTCCTCAGCTCTTTAGCTTCTCGGGTCTTTGGAAAATCTATAAAAATTCCATTGACCATAATTTAAGCCGTTGGCATTGGCATCGGCTTGGTCTTGGACTTGGACTTGGCCTCTCGTAGCGACTGTTTAAGGAAGCAAATGTTTCCGTGCAGCTGCCAACTGGTTGACAACTTGTGTGGACCTGTGTTTTATGTGCCATCCAGGCCGCTGCAGTCGGGTTTATATTGCAATCTGTCCGCAATCATGTCACATCGTTCTGCAACTGGTTCTGCCAGGGGTTCCCCCTCCAATCTTATCCCCCCCAAACCATTCCGTCCATCTAATGAGCTTCGAAGGGCGTTGCATCGCTGAGGGCCTTCATATAAAATGTTTATTGCTTGCAGGGGGAATGAGAAGGGGACTTTGGC